AATATGGCCTAGACATGGTGCAACACAAGCTGCATGCAGCACAGAAGGCCATTATGGGGCACAGCCCTATCTATGCCACATGGTTGATACATTTTGGCCCTCAAATGAGCCCACTGAAACCTATCTGGCTCTCACGGGTGAATGAGTCTGCCCTTGATGTCACCCAGCACTTTTTCCGCCCCCCCCCCCCGATCTACATTCTTATTTCTCCATATGCTTTCTGTCTCCTCCCATCCCACAAGGTAGATTCAATTTTGTCATCCCTTTCCTACCCCATTCACTTTTACACTATTGAACTTGACTTCAGGGTATTTTTATGTTGCATATCTGTGAGCGTCATCACTACCCAAGAAGGCCCAACTGGCCAATCAAAATTCCTTTGGATGTTCAACATCTTTATCTGGGCTTTTTACATCTCTGCAGACAAACTGTCTTCTCACTCAAGCACTTCCCCCAAGTAACAGGAACTGGCTGTGTAAGAGAAAATGTATGGCACGTTCATTCCATCATTTCAGCAATCAAGGAAGTTCACATGTCTGTACCCCAAGGAACATCCCCTTGATACTCTTCCCTTGCAGGCAAGCTATTGCAAAAGAAAATACTGTTTACCTTGAGGGAACATGAAGTTCTTTTGCTGAGTGCACTCCCTTGGGCAACAGACTTCTCATGTGGTTGTGAAGCCATGCTCTTCTCTATCAGATTTCTTATTTCATGGTCAAGCTCTATGCTTTCACACCTGGTTAGAAGGAAATAATAATGTTTAGCTCCAAAGCTCACAAATAAGAACTTGGAGAGTGAGGAAAAGTTCATGTTTATCGCCTTCGTTACATGGCAAAATACATGAAATGACCAAGTATTTTCCTCTCACCTCCAGTCTCCACCACCCTGGCACAGAAGAACAAAACCCAGCTATGGAATTTCAGAATCACAAATGGAACAGATTAACCGTACTGAAAAAGAGATTTTTTCTTCCTAAAATTTTTTTTCTAAATGCTTTTTTTTCTAAATGCATTTTCTGGAATATTAGTACCCATATTCACTTTTTTTTCCATCTTCATATGAAATATTTTGTGGCTTTTTTACATTATTTCACAAACTCTAGGTCAAACATTAACATAAATATTTTAAATGGCTAGGAAAATTGTTTATCCAAAATCATGCTTTCAGTCAATAGACATTTTTAAATAAGTTTGACAATGTTTTGATAGCTAGATAGCTAGATAGATCTATCTAGCTATCAAAACATTGTCAAACTTATTTAAAAATGTCTATCGACTGAAAACATCTATATCTATAGATATAGATATTTTAATCATTTTTTTCAATGTCAGTTTTCAAAATGAACATTCTCTTTTTCTATTTTTTAAAATAAAAATAGGTTTTCCTTACTGAGTCTTGTGTATATTTATAGAAAAATGCTTCCATTTTAAGGATTTTTGTTTCTCAATAGCAAGAAGTGTTTAGTGATTTTGGGTGGTCAATCCAAGGTATGTTAAAAGGATTTAATTTCCAGAGAACGGGTGCCCAACACTTCTGAAATTCAGATTTCTTTAAGATGTGAAAATCACATACTCGGAACCAATAAGTTTTCAAAATTGAGGACTTCATTTTCACTATCTTATCTTTACTCCAAACACAAGTTAACCAAAGGAAAAAGATACCCCTTCCAGCAGAGATCAGTTCAAGAGGCATAGATTTAAAATAAACTGGAAATGCAAATGACATGAGCAAAATGATGCAGCAGTATAGTGCAAGGTTTAAGACCCAAACTTAATACCTTCTCTATTTCAGGGATGCTCAAGATGGAAAAATATTTAATCTGTGAGTTTTCTTTCTTTCAGTTTATATAAAAGCTCCAAACTTTTAAGAGCAAGTTATCTAATAAAATATATCAGTCTTTCACATTAAAATAAAGGGAAGGTGGATTTTGGACAGATACAAAGATAAAGTTCTTTTAACTTTGCACTTTTACAGCTGGGGACTAGGAGTAAAATATTTCTTCCTTCCCCAGAGAATAGGTAAACCTCAGAAGTTTTGATTTGGTAGGTTGTCCTGTAATCAAAACCTGACATTGGGAATTAGACATCTTTAAGTTCTAACCCCAGAATTACTATTAGCTCACGTTGTGTCATTAACTAATGACACGTTGCATGAACTGGAACAGTAGCAAAATTTTTCCGTAAATTACTGTAACTGGTAATTTTCAGCATTTTTGACAGTGAAATATTCCCTCACTCAAAACTAAATTGTCACTCAGGATGGGCAAGTTTCAAGTACAACAACAGGATCAAACTTAAGGTCTGGTATTTTGGGATGCTCTGAGCTAAAAATCAGAAACTATTCCACTGCAAATGGGATTCCTCTTCCTATTCCCCCATGGGATCTTGTATCTTTTCTAGCCCTCGAAAGTTCCAAGATATCAGATTTTCCACTCATAACATTTTGTGTGCAGAAACTTTTATAACTCAATTGTTTTTTTTGGTTTGTAAAATAAGCAGATTGGGTTAAAAGAAAATGCACAGAATCCATCTTAAGAAAGTACTCTTTCTTCATAACTAGTTTTTTTGGCCACAATTCCCATTAACATGAAAGGGGTAGCAATTTCAACAACGTTTTCTTTAGTGCTTACTCATATTATCCACATAATAGGTTGGTAAACTAACAGTCTATAAGCTGTTTAGTATATCCTTGTATAAAAACTGTTCCCATAGTTCCCAATCCCAGTAAGCCTCTGCTTTAAAGCTGACACTGTACTTATGTCCTTGAAAGAGCTGCTTTGATGATTCAGAATTCTAATTACCATTGCACTCCACCATTGTATTTCAATTAAATACTACTGGGATTAAGGAAGTAATAAAGGTAATTAAATTACATCTTCTAAAACCAGTGTACAATGTTGCTATTTTGCAAACAGCACATCTGATTCATACCAATTCTTCCTAGTCAAATTTTAATTCATATAGATATTTACTGTACATTTCCTCATATGAAACTGAATGCTCGTACAGAGGTTATAAAAAAGGTTGAAGGGGAACTTGATTGTACTATAGTGAGGAATTTTGTAGAGGTCATTGTTGTGAAACTGGGTTTCCTCCCAAGGCATGGGAGGAATGCCTAATACTTGGTTCCTCCCAAGGTATGTCAATAAAGTATAAAAAGGTCTGTGTTTACCTGCAGTTGCATTCAGAGTCATCAATTCATCAACAATTACTGTTTCCAAAATTTCCACTGATATTTGTTGTGTAAGGGCCGAAAACAAGTTTAAGGAGTGACAGGGCCTATGAGAAGTGGAAATGGGGATACAGTTGTGCTGGGCCTCTAATTTCAGGACCACCCCCCCAAACTTACTAGAATTGTCTTTCTTAGGAGACATTAAATATAATGAGTAAAATAATAATTGAAAGTACCACGTATATAAAGTCAAAATATGATCTCTAGAAATGTACTTTAAAGCTTATGAATTCGGCTTATAATTAAAAAAGAATTCCTCTATTTCCTGTTGCCAAAGGGAGTGGTGCTGCACCTCCCACTACTCGAAGAACAGGTAGTTTTAAAATTGGAACTCCAACAATTCCACTTTCAACCCTTCTGAAAGGTTCTAGTTTCCTTCTCAATGCAAAAAAATAAAAAGAAAAGGAAGAAAATGTGAGAATAAAAATGCCATTGGACAGAACTAACATAAAACAAATGTAAGGTAATGGGGAGAGAGGAGATAGTGCTTCCATTGACTTTTGAATGTAGTTATTTAGCTGTAACAAATCATCTTCAGTTTAAGAAGAAAATATCCTATAGCACAGAAATGTCTATCCCATTGCAATGGCTTAGAAAGTGTGTCATTTTTGGATGGAAGCCATGCAACTGAAAGAACTCACAGGATATGGCTTACAGATTATACATTTTATTTGGTTCACCAGCATGGGCAAGTATTGCAAATTCCTAAAGAAATGAATTGCAGAGAATGGACAAGATACCTAATTCATTAACTGCCCTGCCATGTTTTTCCATGGGCATCTTTTGTAGTCTGAACAGAAATGGTAATGTGACACTGTAACAGGGAGCTGGTGGCCCTGTTATGGACGAGTAAAGAGAGTAAAGAGAAACTTACCAGATACTGCAGGACCGGCTGGCGAGATGATGTCATTTCGCCAGTGCAAGGAGCTTTCGCATTGGAGACAAGCACAGCTGTTAAAGTATCAATTAACAAGTCCCTATAAGAGGTGCTAGACTTGATTAGTAATTTCCCCCGAAAGGGAGAGGAGCCGGAGCCAAGAGACAGTTGCAGCGACAGAGCCAGTTTCATGTGCAGAGGCACAGGAGTGACACGGGCAGCATGCCCAAAGGAAAACAGAAGCCAGGCAACCTGTTACACCAAGAGTGAACCTCACTGGAAACTCTGTGGGACCAGGTACTCCTGCTTGGTTAGAGACTTTGTTGCTAGACATCAGGAATGAATGTTTGTGGACTGACTATATTACCTGACCAGGCTGGAAGCAGGATCTCTCCAGGCACAGAGAAGGAGCAAATTAAAAAGCCTGCAGCTGGCCAATTAACAATTTGATTTGTGATTTGTTTATCTCTGCTTTCTGGAAGTAAACACCGAGTCCTGGGTAAGACCACAGCCTTCCCAGAAGCTTGTTTCAATGCATAACAGAGTTACCCCTGGGAGAGGTAGACTGCCAACTTCCCCAGCACTCTGGACATAAGTAAAAAAATCAGGCCACCCACCTGCAAGTACTGACTTTAATTCCCATCAAAGTCATGGCAGGAAAGAAAAATGCAGGGGGCTAGGCTCTGCCAAAGCGTGCTGTCTTTCTGACTTGATTTAGGATACCTGCTCACAGTCGTATTTATGATTTTAGGCACTGAAGAAAGTTGTCTAATGAGTCGCTATTGCACATGAAGACATGGGGTGCTAACAGAAGTGACATCTGTTACACAGTCAGCCCCCTGAAAGTTTTCTACAGCCATGCCATTATTGGCAATGTGTAGGGGGTTCACATGGGTATACATGCATGAGCACCCCCAAGCTTGGTGGTGCACCCCCTGAAAAAAGCACCACTGATGCTGCCAGCAGCACCTGCAGGCGGTCACTGCTCGCCCCCCTCTTACCCACCCCACCAGCATCATCTTTGCGTGGTCCCTGATCACCGCTGGATGCTGCCAACACTGTCTGCAGGTGGTTGCTGACCACTGGTGGCACTCAGCAACCCCCCCCCGACCAACACCACCTGTAGGAGCTCCCCACTCACCACTGCCATGTTCCCACTGCCGGCACCACCTGCAGGCAGTTGCCATGCCCCCTAGCCTCTGGGGGGGCTCATGCATGCCATGATACAAGTGCATGGCTGCAGAGTGCTTTACAAGTGGTCGTTCACAGAACAAATTAACCCTTATCTAATTAGTTACAGATGAAGGCACTCCAAAGAGGAGCGCCTTGAGGAACTTCTGTTCCCTAGGATCAGTTTGTCAGCATGCCAAAAAGATCCTTGCTTAGGTATCAAAATCCAGATTTATCCCACTGTAATATCCAATTTAGGTTTAAGTAAGAACTTCTCACATTGGCCACAACTTGTTCCTCCTAGTAAATTCTTTTTTATTTTTTTAGTGGAATTTTATGCTGTGTGATTTAAAGAGTTTGATCCCCATCATTCTAAAGAAACATATTTTGCATATTTTTCTTTACTTCAAATGGAAATGTTGATCTTGAAGTGCCTGTTTCTGTGCCTTTATTAT